GAATACATTGGACGAGCAGTATGGAGGAATATTGAAACGTTTTTTGTGGACTTTTATGGACCTTCCTGCCTCGGGCGCTGGGCACCTCCATTATTTGAATGTCAGCAGACAGCAAGAAGCCTCCCAGATCTCCAGATTCAAAAAAGTACTCCAGAGTGTTGTTCAGCATGGGGATGAGTAGAAAATGAAGGCTAATCATGTTTTGGGTGTACTATTCCTTTAAGGAATAATGTTCTTTTAATAAAACCTCCCTCACTCCCAGTTTTTGCTACACACTGCTGGTCAGCTGGATGAAAAAAATAAAGACTTTTACTTTGCCCAGAAGGAAAACAAATCTTAATGTTTGGAGAGAAAAAAAATCCAGCTTTTATTGTCATTACACTTTCAGAAGTACAGAGCAACAAAATGAACTCTCCGCATTTAATCCATCCCCTTGGATGGATTGCATCCACTGGCAGCCATTGCATGGTGCTCAGAGAGCAGTGTGAGGTTAAAGGTCTTTGCTCAGGAACCCAGAGTGCACTGAAAAAAATTGTGCAACCGTTTTTGGCATTTATTGACCGGTAATCATATTTAGTTATTTGAATACAATTGTTTCATGTTAGTAGGGTAGGACATAAAACAATTGTGTTAAAGTAACTACATATGATTAAGTAAATGCCAAAAGCGGTTGCATTATTTTTGTTTTCCGGTGATCGCAGTCTGTGGGTGTGGGGCTTGAACTCAGAACCTCTGTATTCCAACCGCAATGCCCTAACTACTAGGCCGCCACTCATCAAGGGGGAGAAATTTTTAACAGGCAAGGTCCGGAAACTAACAGACTTTAACCAATAACTCGTGTAAAGTCACTTAAAGCCATCTTTAATCCTTACATTTTTGATTTATCACTTAACTTTTTGGGATTTGCAAGGGAATTGTATGTCACAGGATGTTTAGCAGTAACTGGGAAGTTTTGGACCTGCTTTGATCCCAACTATTGTAAGGAATTGTATGTTTATAACTCAAATAATATATATTTGCAGCAGGAGGTCATTCAGGGTTCTTTTATGTGGTTCAGTGGTCAAAATCTGTTATTTTTTATTAGTCAACTGAGCCAAAAAGGGATCTAAGACAAAATCAAAGGCCGACATTTCAAAACTTTGCTACCCAGTTTAATTAGCTGTAAGATTTTAGTATTTTAATACATCAGAAAAACTTTTAAATTCATCATTTTATTGCAGGTTTGTAATTGAAATGGAAGTGGGAAGGAATGAAATGACAACAAACGGAGCTGCAACAAGAAAGTATGGATTAGAAACAGCAAACTGACCTTGAGTTTTGAAGACCACAGTGTTTTTTAAAATATAGTTGGTAATTAAGGAGTTTGAGGGTTGACAAGACAAATATTTTGCAGTAAAAAAGCTCTCGTCGAGGGTTGACGAGGCAAATATTGCGAATAAGCTCTCGTCGTTAAAAATATAGAAAAGGCAGGGTTTGTTTACTCCATTTTTTTTACATTAAGTCTGTTTTAAACACAAAAAAACAATATCCCCATAAACTAACTATAAATAACTGATTTATAGCCCAAGTTAAAGGCATGCTATGCAACATTTTTCAGTTAATTTATGTGTTCTATAACGTTTTGAATGATTAAATGAGTCATTTCAGGTTGAACAAACCGAAAATGGCATGTATGTATGAAGAACATATAATGAAACCAGTGGAGGTTTGGAAAGCTGATCGGTTTGCTTGCACTAAATGCTAATAGCTGTCCTAGAGAAATCCCCTCTAGTGTTTTTTTTTCTTTCCTGTAATTTTCACTCGTTGGTTTCCACTGTGTTCTTTGCCTGCAGGAAAAAGCTAGCCAAAGCCTCTTGCAAGCCTTGACACAGCAGGTTGCCATGGTGGCTGGCTATTTTTCTAATTATGTCATTCCCCCTTGCTGTGAAATGCAGACACGCTAGGTTCCTCTCTCATTTTTACACACGTTTCCTAATCCCCTTGCAACAGTTAGTGGCTTTTGTCTTATTTGTTGTGAAATCTTTCTTGCAATCAGATCTGCCCCCCCGCCCCCCTCTTTTACTTTAATAAGTGTACAACTGTAGCCTATTATAATGTTCATAACTAATTATGCAGCAGGGAAAACCCCCCAGATGCACTTCCTTTAATATATATTTACTTGTTATTGCAGATAATTTCAAGTTCCTTACTGACCAGCCAAGGTTATTGCATACATATGTGAAACTGATGGAGTTGTATGAGCAACCCGATAGGAACTCATAGCATCATTTTCCTCCTCCAGGCCAATGCTCTGCTATTCAGCTTTAATGAAAGTGATCTGGAGCAACGCTGAAGTGCGATGGTTTCTTCCTCATCGTATTTTTCCTCTCCAGCAAGTTTCATTACAGTGATACAGGATTTTAGGAGACTGTGGTGGGAGAGTCACTGACCCTCGGGGGTTTGCACATTCTTAAGCATGGTGTATCCCACTTGAAGGGTAATGCCATTTTTTTTTTTTTTTTTACATTGGGCCCTTGATTTTACGTTATTACATCATGTTCTCCTCACCCATATGAGTTTTGTGTCATTGGGAGCTGTTCTGAAGAGATTCGGTTTTGTTATATCCAAGTAACGTCTTCATATAGGCAACGAGTTGAAGGCACAAACTGCTGTTATTTAAGATAAAACATTTAAAAATCATTTATTTATTTTAGACATTTTACATTTACATTTTACACTTACATCCCGCTCGTTCCCTGAGGGTAAACATGCTGTGGCTCTGACTGCAGCGCTGAGAGGGACTCTGCAGAAGCGGTAGAACGGGGTTGGGATGGTGGAGGCCCTTCCACGGCAGCACCTACCGCTGGAGGACAAGGGTAAGAACGATACATGCTTTCATGAGTCTCTTAAAGACACCAATGACACCAGAAAAGTCACTAGATTTTGTCACTATTTGCTTTTTTGGAAAAGAGTAGCTGGAGGGGTCTGAAAAGTCGCTAAATATAGTGACAAAGTCGCTGAGTTGGCAACATTGCACGGGCAGCCGGGGCGGCATTTTTATAAAGGAGGGCGGGACGCGCGCTTTCGGAAAAAAAATCGTAGTTGGAGTGAGTCCCTCTCGGGGTGTAGAACCGCCACTGACCATCTATGAGTGTGGCCACATTCTTCCTATCACTTGGTTATGGCCGTAAACAATTTGTCTCTCTATGGCGCTGGGTTACGGGCGGTATGAAAGTACAGCTGCAGGATGATCTGATAAACTAACAGATCTTTTTGTTGTTGTTGCTTTCTCTCTCTCTGTGTTTATA